GATTCAAATCATCTACAACTGGCATTTTCAACGTAAACTACTTTCATAATATTATGAATGTGTAGCAGTATTAATGAACTGTAATAATTATAAGAAATTATAAAGCATTGGACTAATTGTTTGAGATAACTAAATGAATCTACAATGACAATAGCCTACATACAATCGATTAATGTCAAATTGTATAATTATTTTAATTAAAGATTAGATTAGTTAAGAAAATTTCTTCTAAAATAACACTACTATTTCTAAAAAAAAGTAAGTTTAACTATGATGAAAACAAAAATGTCATGTGTCACAAAACGTACAACGCGTTGACGGAGGTTAAAATCGCAGATCAAAAATGTCGAATAGTCAGATCACGTAACAAGTCGATCTTTCTGTGCGCATGGGGCGAATGCTTCGGTATTGGTAAATGGGTTCAAAGAGCCAGACAAGAAGACCTGTACTCGGCTCATGGTCGACGAAGCCTTTATGAACCACTTTGGAGCCATTGTGATGGCAATGCGACTGAGCGAAGCTAAAAAAAATCCTGCTCATTGGTGACATCAACCAACTCCCTTACATTGACAGGGATATATATGTTTATATATATATATATATATTTATATATAATTTTCATATTTATTGATATGAACTCGCTGCTGCACCTTTACCAGCCCGGTTAATGTTCGCGGCCCAAAAAGAAAAATTAAAAAAAACATGTTAATCAAAAAAGAGTACGGACCACGATTCTGTAGAGTTACTTAGATAAATAAAAAAAACCTAATGGTTGACCGCTTTTTGTACTATACGAAAAATTCCGTAACAAGAAGCAACAGTAATTACAGCTGAAGACAAATGTGCAATAATTGTTATAAAATTGAGTACCACCGATAATTTAACTCGATTTATATCACGACTATTATAATAAAGCATCCAAACACGTTGCGAGGTTGTTTCTCGCAATCAACACGCTTATTTATAATTGTTATAACGCCCCAAAGCTATTTTGAAAGTTTTCAAAAGACGATAAATGCAATTGCAATTTGCATTTATCGTCTGAGGCGGTAGATCATTCCATTAAATTTTAGGGAATTAAATTAAATTTTAGGGAATTTAATTAAACTTTTAGGGGATCGCGTAATTTTAAGTAAAGTATATTTTGTGCAAGGTTAAGTATTTAATAGGAATATAAAGGCTTAACTTACTCCATAATTTAATTTCATAACGCACTCAAGCTTTTAGTTAACAGGGTTGACAGAGACTGTTTAGCGTCCACGTTTCATGGAGCATGTTCACCCTACTAAATATTAGAATTTCCTTGTTCAAGCCAAATAATGGAACCCGTATAGATATTTTTGTAGTCCGGCGGTCTAGTAAGAATTATCCCACAATTTAAATGAGATACATTCTTTTTGCCGTCTATCAATACTCATACCCGACATTTATGGGTACGCGACAGTGACAGCAACTAGTGGAGAGATATCTGGCTCTAAAGGAGACAATGGTGGAGTGTTTGAATCTCACATTGCGGTAGTCTATCAATGGGTTAATCATTGACCTGTAGATAATTATTAATTGATCCTGATGTATACGTTTGTCTTTGTTATTGTGAAGCAAAAGCCTGTACGGTAATATTAGAGCAAGAACTGCAACTCTTTTTAGGCAGCAAAAAAAAAAAACTTTCCCGCCATGTAAGTATCAAATTGCTTCTATTATGTGAATAGTATTGGTATGGTGTCACCATCAAGATTTGCGTTTGCATGCAAATATTTGAGACATCAGACTAATATGAGGCGGTTTAGCCACTTTGATGCAGACAATTAAACGAATTTAACCGTAATCAAGCCTTTATAGACGACTCTGCGAGCGGCCACAGGACTAACTTAATGTCATTAAAATTGTAAATCAAAAAATATGATTACGAAGTGGAGAATAGTTCGTATTTTAGCGTAAATTCATAACACTTTCATAATTAATTGGTAGCGATGACTATTTTCTAAGTCAGACAGATTAGAGCGTTTGGATCCCGGCACATTATGCCGGCCTTTGACCTCTGTTTTGTGTGAGGTCGCCTGTATTTGTTAGCTAAATCGCCCTTCGACGCTTCGTTCTGATCGCTTCTGTATACAGGGAGTATCACTTTGAGTATCTGTTTAATTGTACATTTAAGTCATCTTGGTTAAAATGCGTCAAAATTGGCTGAATTGTTTATTGTGTATGTTCTATTTCATTGTCATCGAAAAGGAAAATATTCAAGTACAGGCACTGTCTCCTGGACACGATTTTTTGGACTTGCAGGCCTCTTCACAGCTTTCAGTATGTGGCAAATCAATGCATTACATTAAAATTTAATTGTTAAATTTAATTGGTACCTAATATTTATATTCTGAATTGATCACAATGATCTTCTTAATGATCAAAATGATAAATTCAAAGAGTTTAACCATCCTTTTGGCAACTCAAATGATATCAATTATTAGTTAATTTAACCATTAGTTAATTTCTAAGATGATCAGTATTTCTGAAACCGGGCGTCTATCTAACTAAATTAGAGTTGGTACCCGTACCGAGATTTGATCTCGGATCTGTCGAGTGTACTGGAACTTGTCAAGCGTACTGGATAATAAACAATCACGAGAAATATTAAGACAAATGAGCTTTTATTAGGTGTGAAAAGTTTTTACAAATTTAAATAACTAATGTAAGTACTGTACTATAGTTTGCTGTTTATTTCACAAAATAAATATGTAAATAAAAGCAAGTTCTGGTAAAAACTTGCCTCGATTATATGGACGGATTTGAGAGCATCCTGTATAAAACCATCAAAGTCTCATGAATGGCCCGCTGCTAAGCTTATTGTCCGCGCCCATTCAAATAGGTACGCAGTAAGTGATCAATTCATCACGACAAGCGGCGAAGGATTTCATTTAATGCGCATTCAAAGACCTTTCAACGACGCCTCCTCGAAAATGCTTTCTGCGCTTACTTTTTGTGCCTTCTTTACTGTTGTAAATATCAAAATAAATAAAGTTATAGCGTAATATTGTGACACACTTTTAAAATTGAAAACCAAAAGTTTAATCTCATTGCATTCTTTAAAATAAAGTCAGTTTTATAAGTAGTATTCTCGGTAGGCACGCGTCCTTTTTTAACACAAACGTACCTATGTCATTTAATGAACATAATAACCCAAATCTAGCATTAAAACGACCAGTGTCATTCGTATATCGGTTCCAGTCAAGTAGAGTGCTCTAACTCACTTAAAGGCAGGGTCAGATTTAGAGGTTTGGAGGCCTCAGGGCAACAAAAGAGTGGAGGCACCTTGTCCCCAAATAAAATGAACAATTTTTTTCTGTCAAGTTTTGCAATATATAAATTATTGTGAAACCAAGTATCAATATAAAAAGAAAAGTTTTTGACGAGTGTTTACTAGTCTTAATTTTAATTTTTTTTCCGAAGTCTATTGTGGAGGCCCCGGGGCTGCAGCCCCGGTTGCCCTCCCCTAAATCCGGCCCTCCTTAAAGGCACGAAAGATGCCCTCGGTTTTACAGGTAAAGATTATAGAAAGCCTGTAGAGCACTAGTAAAAGGCGTTACAGTACATTCACAAGAGTGTTTATTCATCCTCGACTTCTACAAGTAGGTATTATAGTAGTTGTATATAAGCACATGGTAAAACTTAACAATTATTTAACACCAGTTGGTTCAAACATCTCACCGTTTCATTATTACATTATGAAGCAACTGTGTAACTTTAAGTGTACGACTCTTTGTAGAAGTCGTAAATAAGTACGGTCACATAATAAGATTATGTCAGTCAGTACTGTTTACCGAGTAGGCATAATTGACAGAAGGACTATAGTAATAATTATGTATTGAAGATATTTTTCTTAGTGAAGTAATGATACCATGTTTATATGATGTATATACCATGTTACGCTGCTACTAGATACCTCCCGCTTTATGCGTCATTTTCTTTTCTTGGCACCTTAGCGCAAAGCCATTTCATCCCCCGTGCCGAAACCTATCCATCTGGATGTTTTATATTTATTTGCATCTGGATGTTTTATATAGGTATAAATCCTTCGCACACTAGAATTTTATTTGGTTATTTATTAGTGAAGAGCAATAAACAAATGATTTATAACAAAAAAAATTAAAATAATTGCAAAGTAATAAAAGCTAAATTGTTTCCGATACTCATTAATTATTTTTTGTATTAAATTTTAGTCTTGGGACTTACTCCTGCCCTTATTCCACCTAGGGGAGGTCGGTATAAAATGTGAATAATTTTGCTCATGGTATTGCCTAGGTTTTATACGGCCTACTGTACCACGTATTGTATACTGTAACAAGTATTCGTGTTGTTGGGACTCAAATCCACGACCCTTGCCGCTGAAACCATTCGATTTAGCAACTGCGCCTCCGAGTAAGTCTTGGGGCTACCCCATTTAATTTGTCAAATAACAAAATTACAAAATTCAAGATTATAAATTTATTCGAGCTCAATTATTAAGGAATTTAAAGAAATTGAGTAATATCAAAATGTGCAAAAACTTCTTATAGTAAAATACTTAAAAATACATTAGGAAGGCAAATAAATACACTCAGGGAATGCAAAAATAAGTGATAACAGATAGATATCTGTTCTGTAGATGTTTAAAAACTTTGAATAATAACGAATTATAAAATAAGGTTTGTAAAGTAAATTTAGTTTTTAAGAGAATCTCCGCCATTTTAACTTTAACTTTAGCAGCTTGCTTATAATGACGTTCCTACAAATGAATTTTACTGCTTGACTCTTTTTCTGTTAAAAACACATATAAGATGCTACTCAATGTCTTGTACCATTCAACATATCGATATTTTTATTTTATATTGTATCCAGTTATTCATAATAATTATCGAAATGGATAATTTGCCGTACTATTAACAGTTATAATTACTGTTAATAGTACGGCAACATTAACATATATACGTAATTCTAATTTCTTAATCTGGCGACCTTTTTACAAAATGTCTGACGCCACTTTAGAAAATGACGTTATAGAGCCGCCTTGCTCAAAGAAAATTAAAATTGAAGAGCAAAATGAAAACGGAGTGAGCAACGTTCAATTGGAATTGAAAGATTTTGTTCCAGTGAAAGTTTTGAACAATAATACAAATAGGAAAACGGTTTGTATCCAAGGGACATTCAGAGATAAAAGTGGTGTGGCTTTAGTGTTACTTGAAAAAAATGCTTTCAAAGGAGAGGAATTGGACGACAAGGGATATTTTGCCATAGACACCAAGCTGCGTACATTTTTCCAAAACGATATATACGGTAATTTTGAGTGTTATCCGCGCTCAGAAATAAACGGTGAGTGCCCGCAATTATCTACTTTCAAATTCCCAAGGTTTCCTTTATTGGAACGATTAGTCACGATACAAAGCAAGTCTTATTACACCTTAGTCGTGAGGATCATATTATCTTGACATATGTGAAACATTTAAATAAATAACAATTCTTTATAATTATATTTGCATATTTCGTCTACAGTACATACGTGTTTTCTTGACGTATTATAATCCTTTCACAAGCTCGTGTCGCGATAAGATAAGTTGCATAAAATAGCTTACAATTAAAATGAAAGTTGAAAGGTCATATGTCATAGCAAATAGTTCAGTGAAATTTTATAATTGTATTGAGTAAACAATATCCATCTTGATAGAGCCACTATAATAAAAAAAAACAATATCCATTATTCATATTTAATCTTGCAGGTATTATTACATGAACATTGTTTTTGTTAACTTTAGCAGCCAGCATATGGTTTCCAGCGACATATCAAATTTAACTTGCGTTTCTAGGTGTAAAGACTACAATCATCTACCCTGCTACTGAAAAGCATATTGCAAAGTTCAGCCAGCAAGAAGTTCATATAATACTGGAAACTCCTGAACTGTACAGAAAGCTGACACTACCATATATTGAAAAAGAGCAGTTTAACTTACAGGTAACATTCTCCAAGTTTTCTTTATTAGTTAAGTTTCTATTTTCTATATAATTGCATGATGATCAAAACATTTACGAATATTTTAAAAATTGTGTTGCAATACTTCATTTTGACGAAATAAATCTCACTTTAGTTGTTATTGCATTTTTACCAAATAATTAACATAAAGAATGAATCTGTTGCTGATGTTTAGTATCAAAAACCGAATCGAATGAGATAAATATATAGGATATAGATTTTTTTGTAGTTTTTTTAAAACAAAGCCCTTATGGTAGGATAACATTGTCCTTTAATGCAAGGACATTTTACATACATTAATTTCACATGGACAAATACCTAGTTATACACACTAATAGTATTATATATCACACTAATAGTAATAGTCTATGTGGGAACTGAATGCACATCCCCCGTCACCAATGCCTTAGCAACTGTGCTACGGAATCATCAAGTCACAATTGGATGAATAAATTGAATATGACTCACAAAATACACTTATTGAATTCCATACATCTGCAGTTGGGTGTGGACTGTGATAGCCATTGCCCAGAAGTGGGCTTAATTTCTTAATCACTTTGTTTTTTTTGGGTAAATAATAATACTTTTCCAACATGTTACAAAATGTGGTAGACACATTAGCGAAACACATAGGCGTAGGCCTTAAGCAAAGTTATATGATTAATTATTAATTTTGAACTAATAATTTCCTAAAAAAAATTTGTTGTAATTTATGTTTATTAAATTATTATGAAAAATCTGTTTTAAATGTTTGTAAAGTAACATATTACATTTACAATCTTACCTCACAATGTTAGGTATGATTACTTAATTTGTAATTTGTAAACAAAGTGCTAGTTTATCCTTAAATGGTTAGTATACTTACCAGTTATCCTTATACAGCGTGTTGTTACCATCGCGACAATAAATGAACACACGTCTAATGCTACTTGCCAATAATCATAAAAAATATTAACGTTAAACAAAATCCATAATTAAAAAAAATATATAATAATTCACATAATACATAATTTTCAAACAAACTAATTAAGTAAAATTAAACTAAAGTAACTAAAGTAAAAAAACTAATTAAAAACAAAATTTGTAACATCCTATACAAGCCTCTCCCTCTAACAGTATGTTTTGTCTCTTTTAAATTCATTCAACCCATTCATATGCTTTGTGACCTTTACAAATGAACTTTACATTACAGTTTTATATGTAAGGGTGTTCTAAAGTTGTTTGTTTTAAAAAAATTAATAACTCGGTAAATATTGATGTTTAAAGAATGTAAATGTTTAATACAATTTTAAAAAGTTATCCTCTATATGTGTGTTCATTTATTGTCGGGGTGGTAACGACACGCTGTATAGGTAGACCCTACACATATTTAAAATATTTTTATCGTTACGAATATAGTAACGAAGTTTTACGGTGTTCCACAGTAAACCACGAAATCTTCAGAAGAGGTGTACATCCTCTTTACACTGTTGACAAATTACAAAAGTGAAACTAAAACTATAATTAGCGGTAAGTAAATTTTATTCTTAATAGTTATCCTATTGTCTGAAATTACAAGAGTCACTATCTACAAACAAAGAAATGCTATTAATTGCTAAATAAACAATAAGTTTGCCAAATGTATAAAATTAATTAGTTTTGTACCTTTGACAGATGGAACGTGGTGGTCCATTGGTGCTGATTATCCAGGAGGACCCGATCGTGGTACCGATCGTGGAACGGGATAAGGACCTGGAAAATTATGCACTACTTCGCGCAAGAGCCAAAGAACGAAAGCGCCGTTTCTTGGAGAACATGACGCCAGAGCAAAGGGAGCTGAAGAAGGCAAAAGACAGAGAGTATTACTCGAAAAAGGAGAAAGTGAGAAAGAAGTCGATAAAAGAGGTGCCCGACGAAAAGAAGGAGGGCATCAGAAGAATGTGGCGCAGAAACTCGAAGACCTACAGAGAAAAGAGAAGAGTGGTCCCAGAACAACCACAAACAACTGAAAATCCACAACCTGCCACCTGCATCGTGCAAATCCAGCAATGTGGCCGTTATTTGGAATTGGTGCCAGTTGAAACATTAACGCCGATACAATGGCAACAAAGTTGAAAATTTGCTACTGGCCTTAACTTATTATCAAACTATTTATTTATTCTAGTCAAGTCTGTTGTGCTATGTGCAATTAACAGACTAATGGTTTTGTAATGATTACTATTGTAACGTATTTAAGACATGTAGTGGAGTTAAACATTTAGGTATAAGATGGTAGATTGAGCCAAACAGTTAAATCCATTATCCACTAAATTATGTAATATCAATAATGTTGTAACTTATGTTTATTATAAACTTTTAGCTACTTTACGGATTTTGAAACTGAATGTAAATTAAAGAGACAAAACAAGAGGAAATTAATACTTCTAGGGAGCTTGTAATGCCACACCTTTTTTTTATGTTGGAACCAAAAATCAATCTGATTGAAAAGTAGTCTGATATAATAATATATTGTACCTAAATAAACCCTTTGGTTCCATAAAACAGAAAATTGCTTAGCTGTGACAAGAAATGGTCTGCTCATTTAGTTTTAAGTACATGCCTTATATTTGTAGTTTAAAAGTAATAATATATGTACTTAAAAAGTAAGTTACTGCGTTTATTAGAATGTGTGTGTCAACTAAACAAACTAAGGTGTTGTAGTAATGAATCCATAAAGTAGTAGTAGTTTTTATATAATTTACACTATTAAGTCTATCTGCCTTCTCAGTTTGGTTACTAGTCAAAACCCGAGTCTTTCGAAAAATGTTTCGGAAATGTTTGAACAACCAGTTGAATATATTTAATCACTTTCTGATTTAAGAACATGTATTAATGCGGTAGGAAAACAACAAAAGCAAATGATTAGTACATAGTTGGTTAGTGAATATTTCTGTTTTTTTGTTGTATAATTTATCAAAGTCTATAAAATGTATTTGCAAATATCTATGATTATCATAGATATTTGTAAATACATTTTTCATGCCATATTAATGATTTAGCAATCAAATTATATATAATATGCAAGATAACTTCGGAGTTTTATTTCAAATTGCTTATTTCTTTTCTTGTTTTGCATTTCATAGCCCATTTCTTGACAAACATTATGGACTATTTGACACGACACTACGATCCATGGGGGCGAAGCAAAAATGTTTCTTACGGATGAAATCGCATAGAACAGCTATTTTATTTGATATAACCTGTTAACAGATTGTAATCTTTAAAATGAGTCACTAAAAGTCAGAAAGTTGTTTTAACCTCTCAACATTGTTACCAGACAAGGTTTGTCTTAACCGTGACATGATATTTCTTATTACAATCTTGCCCAATCTATTTGAACTGCTTATAAATAATATTAAATAGTAGTTCATAAAATTGTAATAACAATCCCATCCTTTGACTAACTTATTTGATAAGGCATATTATAAATAGATATTGTTATATAGTTGGTGTAAGCAACAATTTTCCGATCTTTTTGTTTTCAGTGGGTCTACAACATTTTAGAAGGTAGGAGCGAGCAAGATAGAATAGTTTACGACAATAAGTGCGAAAGAGAGGGCTTTGTCCTCGTGCCTGATCTAAAGTGGGACGGAATAACCAAGGAGACACTGTACCTGCTTGCTATTGTCCGACAGAGAGGCATCAAATCACTGAGGGATCTTAATGAAAGCCATCTGCCGCTCTTGAAGAGAGTTAGAGACGAGGGAAAGGTGAGTTTTCATATATATTTTTTGTAATGTGCAAATTTATAAAGCAAGGCTGGTGGTTCATCTAGTGTTAAGTGATTGCTGACAGATGTCTGCAATACCTGAGGAGTTGTAGATGCGTTGAGAACCTTATAAAAGGTGGGCCCCGGTTACCTCACTGACTAGATGAAACGCAATAGTTATTCCACTTTACGCCGGTCTTCTATGAGGACCTGGTATTTCCCCGGATTATCTAATGCTAATCTAAATTCTCAGATAATTTAAGACAATGTAGAAAATACGAAATGGTACACAATATTCTAATATCCTCACTACAGGATTGAATCCACACTGGTGAAAGAGACAGGTTTATATCCACTAAACCGAACGGGTCGTATCATTCGTCGATCGAATATTTCACTGACAGTCTCTTCCAAATTTACAGAAGGCGATATACTCCAAGTACAAGGTTTGCGGCAGCCAACTGCGAGTGTACCTGCACTACCAACCCTCGTTCTACCATCTGCACATCCACTTCACGTACCTGAAGCACGAAGCGCCCGGTATCCATGCGGAGCGGTCGCACCTCCTCGACGCAGTCATCGACAATCTCACCATGAGCGGCCACCACTACCAGCTCGCGTCCCTACCGTTCACCGTCCGTGAGATGGACCCCCTATTTTCTTCGTACGAATCGGATGGCCACGTGGCCAGGGTCAACCAGCCGGACAAATAGGAAATCCCACACAACATGCTCGTAAGGGACGTCTTCGTTGAGCTGCGCTCGAGGCTGCGCAGTTGCAACGTGTTCATAACCACGGGCGCCAAGCTGAACGACAACTGCAACTTGAAAATCAACATACAGCCCGGCTGCATCACGCTGAACTACTACGAGGGTCTGGGGCAGCGGCGTGGCAGCCTCTCCTCGATCGAGAGCCTCTCCGACTGCTGCTCAGAAGAAGAAGAATGCTCGGACAGCGCTTCCATAGCGTTCGACGGGCACTGTCAGCTCATACCCAACTCGATGTCCTGCTTGAAAATCGGCGGCGGCACGATATCCTTCCGTATACTGACGCGTCCCAAAGGCGGCGATTTCTTCACGGAGCTCGTGCCGGCGGGCGGACCTTCGGAGACGCTGGAGTCCAAAGAACCCAAAGTTTGCGTCGAACCGGGCCGCGACACTGCGTTCTCGTGCGCGAACTGCTCCAACAAAGTGACCGAAGGCCGCGTCAAGTTCGACAGGGTGCTGGAATTGCCCACGACAAGCTTGGACGCTTCGGAGTGGTTCTGTCACGGACACGACGCGGTGGGCACGTGCGATCTCGCACCTAAGCCGAAGAGCGCCGACTTCCTTTACCGGCTGACGCACTTCGTCGTGAACGCGACAGCCCTATCGCCGAAGACGAACCGCTTCAACGCCAAGCGTGAGGTCTACCACTGCGAGCGGTGTCTCGCCTGGCTGGGAGTGAAAGAGAGGGACGGCGTGAAACTGTTCAATTGCGAGCTGATGCTGCATCAAGACGATTGGTGCGGCCGCGTCTTCCTGCACGGCTTCCAGACGGCGGACTGCGTGGTCGACGACTTTGTTTATACCATTGAGCGCCTCACCCGCGAGGCGAACTTGGGACTGCAGTACAGTGTGATGTGCAGGATCGTGCTCGAGTGCGCCTTCGCCAGCGCGAGCAAACGCTACCTGCTGGTCTGGGTGATGGACAGACGACTCGAGGTGCTGAGGAGGAAGGACAGCGTCGACGGCAGGGTGTCGCTGCAGTCGAGCTTCCTGACGAAGATCCTGTACAGGGTCGAGGGCTCGCTCAACGAGGAAGTGGAGAGCTGGCTAGCGGACCCAGCGGTGGTCTCAGCGGACATCTCCAAGGCGATGTTCTGCCGCGGCGTTGAACATCTGCGCTCCACCTCGCAGAAGGTGCCCGAATCCTTCCGCAGCGCTAACGGCTTCAGCGTCAGTTACCTCAAAGTCTGATAAATACAATTTTTTTCATGCATATCTAGTTTTTTTTTGTGACTTGTTGGCAAACAAGCTGGTGGTTCACCTAATGTTAATTGATAACCACCGCCCATGGACATTTGCAACACCCATAGATTTGCAGAAGCGTTGCCACCTTTTAATAAAGCGGGCCCTGGTTACCTCATTTAATGAACGAGACAGAAGTATAACACTTCTACTTCACGTCAGTCTTCTGTGAGTTTGTGGTACTAACACAGACAGACCTGCCTGTTTGTGCAACATCGAATACTTGTTTGTGCAACATCCCATACACAATTACAGAGTTTCTTTTTATGAGTCATAGTAATTTTATCGTTCAATAAAATGAGTGCTCAATGATGGATGTTCATGAACTACAAAAAATAACAGAAGTGAATCGCGACAATAAATGAACACACATATAGAGAATAACTTTTTTAAATTGTATTAAAGATTTACATTCTTTAAGCATCAACATTTAACGAGTTATCAAATTTTCCAAACAAAAAATTTTAGAACACCCTTACGTATAAAATTGTAACGTAAAGTTTATTTGTAAAGGTCACAAAGCATATGAATGGGCTGAATGAATTTGAAAGAGACAAAACACTGTTAGAAGAAGAGGCTTGTAATGCGACACTGTGGCAACGAATGAAAAAGCCTCTGAATGAATCAGTCAGTTGTAGTATGTTACAAGTTTTGTTTCTTTTTTACTTAATTAGTTTGTTTGAAAAATATTTTTTTTATAATTAATATTTTTTATGATTATTGGCAAATGTCGCGATTGTAAAGGCTCGCTGTATATGATTTAAAAGTTTATAGTTTTGTACATTTGCTATTGAGTTTTAATAGTGTAGATATGTATGATATTTTGTTTAGAAGGGGATGAGTCCCAACGACCATTGCGATCTAGATATCTTGTAGTCCCGAGTTGTAAGGACATTTTACATTCATAAATTTCAACCTGGATATACACCCAGACCTAAAACAATTATCTGTGAATCACAAATAGTTGTCTCATGTGAGAATCGAACGCACTCTCGGCGCCGAAGCTTTTGCAAGTACGCGATAGGGTCATTGACTAGATATGTAGTCACAATTCAACATGATCCTCAGGGAATGTTTTGCTGTATACCAGACTCAAGACAGATTTTGCAATAAAAATATATTTATTCTCCATAGAAAAATTGTACGAAAATAGATTTGTCCTTAATTGCCACATTCAATAACATAGTGTATCCATCAAATTGAAATCCAAACACAGTAAACATTAAATATGGGTGAGTTAAATAAATATGCTTAGGTAAATTCCATATGGATATTAGACATAACATTGTTTCCTTAACATGTTTTTCCTTATTTGAAGCAAAACAATTTAACTTATGGCGATTTCAAGTTTCAAGTTTTAATTCATTATATTGGACAGCACCTGTAATGGTCTCTTAAAAACAGATAAGTGTTTATGATTGAAATAATAATATGTTAATACTGATAAGGTACTAATGACTGTTGTCAATACAACAACTGAAAATTAATTAAAAACATTTAAAATATAAACGATTTAATATAATACAACAATTGTAACAGTCACTATTTTAAAACCACAATTTCTTATTAAGTAATGGAAAGTACATACAGTTTAAGGTATATGATGCCACAACCAAGTTTATGAATTTGCCAACTCCAAAGAAATAGACTAAAAAATATTATAATTTCAGTTTACAATACCTATAAACATGATAAATAAACATTTTATTACCTGAGTTTCTGGTACTATATTGTAACCATCAACATAGAAATGTACTCAGCAATAAACACAGAATTAACAACTGTTGTAAGTTTGAATTCAGATTTTACTTTAAAAGATTGTTTTCTCTTATAACAAGGTCCCATCTTCTGGTTGCATGATGACTGTCTCCTTCATTTTTTTTTATACCTAATAGGGATAAGAAATGCTGTCCTATCTCTGTAACTTATAATCTAATCAACATAATTGTGTGAAACAAGATGTTTTAAATTGTTATAATAATTAAATACATTTGGTAAAGCTTTAATGCAAGTTTGCATAACATTCATTTCATTCAAAGTATTTCTGCATGCCTTGTCGAGTCTCGTATTTGTAGCAGCCCATTTAAGATGATTGAGTAATTGAAGTACCAGAACAAACTGAAGAGCAACACAAACAGCACATCTGATTTTACTGGTAAAGGATAAATATCAATGAATTTTAGGATTTAATTAAATAAACCTGTTTCTTTTTTACCTTTAAATGGTTACCTTAAGTAAGAAATTAACACTACAGCACAACAATCAAGGGTAAATTTAAGGAATAGGTGAATACCAAAGAACAGTAATAATTATTAAACAAACAGGAAAGTATGCCAACATAGTTCACACTTCACCATGTAATGGGAAAATATCATGACTAATGAACTAGATGTTAAGTAATAGGAAAACAATACATACAAAGTTTACAAATACATATTACAATTTAAAATTATATTCTTCTTACTACTTTTACCTCATTAGAAAAAGGTACATTTAAATTTTTATCATAAATAATTTGAGAGTATAGTTTGTTGTGATTTACTCATTATACATTACTCCTAATTTATTTGAAGAAACTTCAAAAAATAAAAAAGTTTATGACATTTTAGAATAGATAAGAAGTATGTAAATTCGATGGAATAAGTTGTAAATAACTGTGTGAGGAAGAAAATATTTAATTGTAGTGAAAAGGATACGAATTACCACTTTTTCCCAGGGCTCTACCATGTATAATTCTGTAGCCAATAAGTATCTCACATACCAGTGATTCAAAAATTTACCAAGTTTCTGTACCATGTTAGACATTATAGGACAATTTTGGGCACAAGCTTGGCAAAGATAGTTTCTGTTGTAACTGTAGATCTGTAGTAATAACCGTATTTGGAAGATCACAATATCACAACTTTATTTGAAATAAAACATATAATACGTACGCTCTACTTCTAAACAAATTAATATCTGACAAGACAAAGTCTAATTCTAATAGAAGAATATAAAAAAAATAAAATTAGCTTTAGACAAATTGACATTGACGGGAGCAGGGGCAGGGTTACCAACTTCTAAGAAAGTTTTCCCCCAAACACAAGCTGATAATACATTGATTGAAGTCTTCAAGCAATAACGTAGAATATATGCAAATCATGTATGAACAGTTAAATCAAGAATATGTTTACCATTTACTGTTTGCATTTAGGTTTTCGCATATCAAAATTGTTAAATGAAAAATATATGTCCTCGTTTTATTGTTTCGGCTGGTCATAAGATGGCCGGCTCTGTCTCGCTTAATGGTTAAATTTGATATTGAAATAAAACTTCATTACGCACACTTGATGCATTGCCCGCTTTCAATAGACTTGGGGAGTAAGCTGGTGAATGCGTGACGAGAGCGTTACGAAAAGTGTGATGTTACGCAAACGGTGACTTCTTGATTATTTCGTAATTTCATTTCATTCTTGAACAATTTTATAAATTAATATTCTGTTCAATACATTAAATATTTTACGTTTACAGTGAATAAAATTGTAAATTCATACAGATTACATATAGATGGGGCTAAAGAAGTTTTACGTCGGTCATGTGGTCTAAAGCACAATCTCTCAAATTTTAGATGACGTGTAATTTAGTTAGTATTTGGCGATATTGTATATTTTTTGTTGCTGGTAATACTGTACTTTTTAGACTACAAAACTCTTTATTATTGATATTTTTTTTTGTATTTCCATTATAAGTTTTATTTTAACTATAAATTATTTCACTTATGAATTGTAATATAACAGTCTTATTTAATAACAGTCTTATTTTACTATGCTATTGATAGTATTATACTAAAAAAGTTTTTGTCTACTTACGTAGGCACGTTAGAAGTTGTACCTACTTCTTTGGCGTAACAAAAGAAAAACAAGTTGAATAATAAAATTAAAACATCGTTTCAAAATAGATACACTAATGTTCAAAAGTAGAGCAAAATTATGAAAGCGCTACATTCTTTTGATAGTTCAATGTGATTGAGAATATGCTGCCATCTATGAAAATTTGCGGGCAGCTTCAAATGTGTGACTTTTGTGTTACATCTTAAAATTTCACTCTCATAATTTTTTCATAACGCGCCTAAAGAAGTATAATTTTCAAATCGAACATCTTTAAACTCCAACAAAATAAAGACATGTATAAAAAAATATTTTAAACCTCTTAAAACACATAATTCTCCATTTGTCTCGCTAAATTTAGGGCATAAGCCCTTAAATTGGTCACCGTGGGTTTCATTATGTTAAATACTCGGATGCAGCGTTACAAATTATTGTCAAAAAATAGGTTTTGATGCATATCGTTAGTTGTTATCTTCTTAGCAATAAAATCACTACATAGTATAAAACACAGTTGTCCCGCTGTCTGTCTGTCCCTATGTATGCTTAATAATAATCATAACAGTCTTTATTTCAGACAATACACATAATTAAGTACATTGTCCATAGTTTGTTAGTATTTGTAAATAACATTGTGACTTAAATCTAGGTCAGTATTATTAGTGATAGCTCAGTGTCCGGGCGCTCGCCTTTATTTCAATATACTCGCGCAACCTGAGTTCGATCCTCGGTGCCGGCACCAATGAAGTTTTTAACTTTAAGTGCTGACTTATCACGTGCTCCGCGGTGAAGGGAAACATCGTGAGGAAACCTACATATTTTCGAAGTAATAAAAAAAATATATTTTTCGAAGATATGTGAAGTCCGCCAATCCGCAGTGGGGCCGCGTGGTGGACTATGCCCTCATACCCTCTGTATAGAGGAGGCCTTTGCCCAGCACTGGGACATGTATAGGCTGTTACTTTTATTATTAGTGAACATTACCAAATTGCGAATTATTATTTTGCCAGACCTATAGCAACTGCCACCCAGTGTTACCACTAGTACGAAGGCGCTGTAGCAAAGAGACCGCTGTTTTACGCATAATGGCGTGAAAGCTATCAGTTTGGGCGTCAGCAAACATTTTAGACGCGCTGCAGCGCCACGATAAGTATGTTCCATCAACATCCTGAAAGCGTTGTTATAAAGCTTAGATCTGTAAAACTACGCAACGGATCTTGATGCGGTTTCTTCACTAGATCCAAGAGGAAGGTTTATCTGTATAATACAATGCACCCGTACGAAGCCGGGGCGTGTCGGTAAAGTTTAATAATAATTTGGGAATCTATCCAAAATATGTTATTTTTATTTAAATCTTGCAGTAGTCTTACAGGTCTTGCAAATGGGTTGTGACGTGAGCCTCTTAACGGACGGTCTAGGGGTCCTGGATAATTTAGACAAAATAAATACGTTCGTAAAATGTGAATGGAAACAATATATAAAGTATATTACACATGGAAAGCTTTAAGAATCTATTGTCTCTTTTCTAAGCTTGATTTGCGATATTTATCGGAGAGTGGTAGGGCCACGCAAGAGTACGCTGTAGCACGAATCAGTAGGTCCATCCGTGTAATTACCACGACTACGACTATAAAAGGCAGAAGCATTATAATTCTGCGTTTGGTCCGGTGAGTGAGGTAGCCGGGCCCACTTTATTAAAAGGCAACGCATGTGCAACCCTACGGGTGTTTCGAATGCCCATGGGCGGCAATTATCACTTACCATCAGGTGAATCGATACATCTCTTGCCTTTAGAAACGAAAGTTTTACTACGCTATGGTTTTCAGTGAAGTTTCGGCTTTCTAGGCTAGCTGTGCCCGCGACTTCGTCTGCGTGGAATTTAAAATAAAAAAAAAATCTAAAATAAAAGTAGCCTAAGTTACTCCTTATTACATCAGCTATCTGCAAGTGAAAGTCCCGTCCCATCGGTCCAGCCGTTTTAGAGATTAGTCGGAACAAACAGACAGACAGAAAAAATTGTAAAAAATGTTATTTTGGTATATGTACCGTGTATACACCCATATGCATTTAGTAAATAGCGTTTATTTTAATGTTACAAACAGACACTTCAATTTAATTTATTTGTATAGATTTACCACAAAGAAATAGATAATAGGGGAACATAAAACAAACATATGAAATCAAATGTTTTATTAATCGCATTTGTTAATAATTGTGTAACCTTAACTTAATACAATTGGTATCAGCAATTTCATTCGACATAACACAAGTGTTGCAAGCAATTAAAATTATAACTACACTGGTAGTAAATGTCGCAATGCGAAAATAACGATCACGACTTTGTACTTATAAATATAATTACTTAGTATAAAGCAATAATACAATCAGTTACGTAATTTGTATAGTTTTCTTTTATTAAAATTAATTTATAGGTAAATGACCTGGAGAATAACATTTCTTCTATATAAAATGTATGACGTATATCTTCAAGCAATGATAAAAGATATTCTGAATTTCATAATGTCAGACAACGTGCTTTAGTGAAAAGTTATATAGGTTTATAATTTTAAAAACACGAAGAGAAAGCCACCCTAAAACTTCAGTTTTATCACAAAGTCTTTTTAGGGCACTGTATAAATAAAATTTCTGTCTGTAGAGTCGTCAAAAATACAACGCCGTATTGTAGAATTACATAATAAATATATCATGCAAAATTATAGTAAACTTCAGTTGAAAATACCATACAGTTAATATTTTATTATATATATATTTACATTAAATCTATTTATATCTTTACGATTAAAGATTTCTTGTTAGGAAGCAATAGATTTGCGGGTTCGCAGTTTCATGTAAAATTGTATATCCACACAACACATACACACAATCAAAGTCGTACACATTAATTCGTCTACTCTAAGGTATATATTAAAGAATGAAAATTATTCGATTTTTTTAACGGGCAACACTAGGCCGCTCATCGAAACGCTATATGGTAACATTAAATAGAAAGTAAAGCGTGCAAACACGAATTCAATCCGCAAATCAAACGGGCCACGATAAAATAATTGACTTTAAATTCATTATTGTTTCGTTTTCATAAGTGATCATTCAGGCAACACGCGGTATATCCTTCAGTCTTTCAAAAGGCACCAATAAAATTCAATACGTATATTTATGTATGTATATAAAAATAGCTTGTACATATAAACTATTAAATTGGCACATCATAACAAATCACATATATCAATCATATAAATCGGTAAATATAATGAAATTCACAATTATATATTCATACTAAATACTGTTGGCAATTCTAAATATATGTTTCACGCACGTATTCCTATCATTCCTTCGACTATGGCAACACTTTTGGACAAGTTTCGTGCCGTCCTTCTTAGCAAAGTCAAATCGACTTTACACAACGAAATGCTTGGCTGGATGTCAGTCTGTTTGGTTGATTAGTTGTAAGTACTTGTTACCATTCGGTATATTCATTAATCATAACTCATTCGAGTTTCATTCGTATTGCATTGCAATAAAGTTTATTATCGTATTGTTTCCACATGAATACAAAATTCATGTGCAGTTGGTTCACAATATGCTTAATCAAGCGTTGACCAACATTCGTCAATTGTGTTCGGGGAATTACAAACGTTCACGTTATATTCTAGGCCAAAACGGGAATTGACGAATGGTTTCCTAACTCAAACGAAACATATGCAGAACGACACACACATTAAGCTTACTGCTAGCAGTTGCCAAGTGTGGCTACGACCACAAACAATTGTGGTACCAACATTCAAACTAATAGGCATTTGTTGGACAATCTGGTGATTTTAGTCCATGGCCACCATCCCATTGGACCGAAGCCTTAAGGCAATGCGACTCTCAAATCAACGGTCTGATTAATCGAGTGGAATTCAGCCGCAGCCGATGCACTGTGAGCCGGTTCCCGAATGTGTGCTAAAGTTAGGCCGATGCGATCTGTTGCCGGTCGGCTTTAAGATCCAGTGGGTCATCACTCCAGGTATTCCGTGTAACCCTGGGCGCCAGTGAACACAACGTCGATCCATACCCGAGCGGCCTCTCCCGAGGGGGCCATCAAGTAGTACCGCCTCTGGCGGGTCTTCACTATGAACGTCGTCTGAGGGCTTGGCGACCGGGAAGTGTTCCCGTGGTCCAGATACACTTCCTCGATCACCTGTGGCACAAATCTTTTTTACTTTTGTTTTATTTTATGTCAGGAATTGGCAAACGAGCTGGTTCACCTGATGTTAAGTGATAACCGCCCATCGATATTTGCAGACCCCGTAGGGTTGCAGGTGCGTTGCCTCTTGTTGACCTCTGAATAATGTCGGCCTCTACCTCCTCGCCTTCCTTACTCGCCAGACTAAACGCAGAAGTGTAACACTTCTACTTTACGCCGGTCTTCTGTGACATCGTGGTACTAACCCGGACGGATCTGCCCATTCGTGCAACAGCGAACACTGTTGCGTCGCCCTACCACCTGTAGCAGGTCCGGCAGCAGCTTTGGATGTTGCACGAATGGGCAGGCTCGTCTGGGGACGTAGCGATCACACAGGAGACTAGCGGGAAGTGAAAGCATTATACTTTCGCATTTGGCGTGGTGAGTTAGGCATTTGTTTGTATTTTTGAGTGGGACGGGGGAGCTAGTCCCAACGACCAATGTATCTAGAAGATGTATCGTAGTCTTCCCTTCGAAAACCTACCGCCTTACGTTAGGATGACGTTATCCTGTGTTGTAAGGACGTTTTATATGCATAAATTACACGGTAACAAACACCCAGATCCGAATCAATTATCTGTAGGTCACACATATAGTTCTCGTGAGGGAATTGGACCCACGACCGCGGCACCAAAGCCAATACAGTGACAACTGCGACACGGAGTCATCAGTTAAGTGAGGCATTCGCGGAGTCATCATTTAAGTGAGGCAACCGTGACCCACTTTTTTAATGTTGCTAACGCATCTGTAGCCATAGGTGTCCATGGGTGGCGGTAATCACTTGGCCACAGGAGAACCGACAACTCGTTCGCCAACTTTTAAACATGAAAAAAAAAATCATCCGGAAACAAACCACCCTACTCTCGGTCAGTATGTGGCGAAATGGTTGTGTCCTGATTGATCATCAGCCATTGGCCTGCAGTTCAGATTGGAGACCGTTCCGACCCTCGGCAGAAATTCGAAAGAAATTGACAGAAATGTCTAGAATGTTCTGGAGGGAATGAACTCACCTGGAAGTACGCGCCACCCCGCGGCTTCTTCTCGCTCTTGTCCCAGTAGTAGACGAACGTTTTCGTCTCCCGGTCGAAAACGAACCACCTGTCGAAATTTTCACTATAAATTCTTGCCCGTTTCACTTTGGGATGGGTATCAGCAGTACAGTCGTGAATATGGTCTCAGTTATACGACTATATGGTACTACGGTACTATAGCTATAACATACCAATAACTTCAGTTATTACAATATAAATTGCCCATTCGTGCACGAGGTTTTGGCCCTACCACGACATTCCATAAAACTGCAGACGGTCCCACAACGTTCAGAGCTCTTTCGATGCTTAGGTTTTATATCGAGAAAAATTTCAGAGCTCTTTCGATATTTATATGTGCTGACCGCAATGTCAGACCCATATGGGCCAATATATTAGCAGCTTACAATGTACGATACATAAAAAGTTATTATAAAATAGTGTTGTTTAAATTACGATGCTTTGATACTTTAAGTAATATGCTTTGTTAGTGTACCTTTTGGACCAGGTGTGGAACTTTGCTCCGAGTTTGTGCAGGTATCCACGACACGACGTCGAGTTGATCGTCACGTAGGGGCACAACTCGATTTGGTGGCCTGTGGGAAACGGTAACTGTTACATCCTGTTCCATAGGAAAACGTATCAGGACAAATTACGTCATATGACATTGAGCGGGTGTTAACTTTCTTCAAAATCAAAATCAAAAATATATTTATTCACATAGACGCTTGCGCGTTTTATGAAATGTCAAAAATTTTACATAAAAATTAATACGTTCGTAAGTTACCACCTTGGTGTGTGGTGTGGCTTCTTGGTGTATCTTGTCGGTACATAACATTATACAGTGCTAGTAATGTAAAAGTAATAAAAAATAATAATTTTGTAATGTATTTGATGATCTGGTCAAAGTTTATAAGCGATAGACTAGACCCTTTTTACTCCCTACTAGACACCAGTAGGGAGTAAAGTTCACTTAAAAGACAAATATTTGTACAACCTACAGATGATTATCTTGGATCTGGGTTTGTCCTTTAATTTGTTTGCTAAACTCCTTTCCGAATCAGCGTTATGGCTATCGCACAGTAGGACATGTGAAACAACATCTATTTATTTACATAATACGAAATTAGAACTTCGGAGCTCTTTTGAGAGGATCGGTTAAGCAACAGGAAGTCCTATAACTAATTGGCAATACATGTCTTATTTTTATTTATTATTTATTGTATACTTTATTGTACCCCACAGAGAATTTCAAAACAATAAGTATAAAATAAGTTTTAAAAGCTAGGTACAACAAGGCGGTCTTATCGCTGAAAAGTGATCTCTTCCAGACAATCTTAGGACGAGGAAAAAACTAATGAATAGTGGGAGGTGGTGTGCACAAAAAACTTAATAAAACCAAAATATGTCTTAGGAAACATATAACAACTTTTAAGTTAACAATTATATTGTTAACTTAAAAGTACATATTTAATTATATTGTTATTTTCTTTTTTTCGCTAAAACTTGCCTTTCGGCGTGCTTAACGCCCCTGCTGGGTTCTCAGATTAAAACATTACTGAACATTTTACCCACCAGCGGATTCCACATGTCTGCGAAGGTCGAAGTCGTCTCGGTCGACGGGTAAGTATCTCGTGAGGGGTCGCTGCCACTCCTGGGCAGGGGCGACTCCTCGACGGCTGCGCCGAGGTGCATTGCTGAGCGATACTGTCAAAACAAATACCAATCTATCCATGGTTTCTAAATTATTTTCGTTAGTTTTTTTTTTATGTGACGAGTTGCCAAGCGAGCAGGCGGTTCACCCGATGTTAAGTGAATACCTACGCCCATGGACATCAGCTACGTTGACATGTGTTTGTACATGCGTTGACAACCTTTTGAAAATTAGGCTCCGGCTACCTCACTCACCAGACGAAATTGTACTTCCACTTGGCGCCGGTCTTCTTTGAGGTCGTTACATAGTTAAGTAGTGTAATTAGTTATTGATCACGTTCACTGCGAAAGTGACCACCTGTGAATTGGATGTGTTGTCGAGTGGGGATCGTGTCTAGGCAAACGCGAAGCAGATTGCGACCGGCCAGATGGAGTGATAATTGCTGGTGTGGCAACGGGATTCGTATACCGAAGAGGGGACTATGGGTCAAACTGTGGACTGATGCAAACTGGTGACAATGATATTATCTCCTGTCATGTTCTTGTCATATCTGGGTCATACAACTAGATTATATCTATATGTAAGATAGTTCAATCACTAATAATTTATTATGATAATAACTAAATTATTCAAACACGAAATTGAAATGATTACCCTATATCACTTCCATAACTAAGACGAATCTAAAAACACCTCATCTATATACGTGAAGCAACCTTGTACCGCTTTTTACGAAAATTGCGCGGACGGAGGAGTATGAAATTTCCCACACTTATAGTTTGTATACAGGAGTGCAGAATGCTAATGTTTTTTTTTAATTAATTAAAATCAATAAAAAATAACATTAGACACACTACCCCATGTATAATTAATTGTGGTCATATTTCGACTAATCGGTGGCCACTAGTATGAGTGGCAAATCCGTCAAAAGGATAAGCCCGGAGAGCGTGCGACACATACGAACGGTCAAATATATTTTTGAACAAATATTATGAATATACTTACGTATGTTGTCCCTGCTAAAGTCGGAGGCATGACTGAGGGGTCGGCTATCGTCGCTGCGCTTGTCGTCTTCGGTCGATTCGGTGCGCGAGTTACGGGCCTGAAGCTGTGGACAATTGGGGGAAAGGACATAAGTAAAAAAAAAAAATATATTAAGTGACACAAGTCCAGAGCTGGATTGAGAAGAGTGTAAAGGTCTTTGCTTTGTACTGGAAAAGATAATGCCATATCCATTATAGAATAGGTTGTTCTATAAACTAATAGTTCAAACCAATTTACGATGAAAAATCTTTTTAAATGACGTCGTTTCCGATGAGTTATACAACAATTTAGCAGCTAGTAAGTAATAGATAAATTACTTGCGATATCACACCAGCAAATTCATTTGACAAACGACGCAGTATTTATTTTGGCAAATGAAAGCGATTCTTAGAAAAAAAAAAGTACACACGTATGTTTTGAATCCAGTTCACGTGCGTGCTTCTCTCTTTGATCTTTATAACTACTCAAATAAATGTTGAAAGGAATGTCTATTGTACTGTTTTATACTGTATAAGCTTTGTTGTCCGATGTTTTCTCCAGGTTTCTTTTAAACATGTTGTTACCTTTGAACCATTTCAAGCTGTTCAAACTGCGACCACGTTTAGATTTACCGTACATTGAAATGCAGATCACGACAGGGAAGGATTAGCAGCCTCAAGTTTTCTTGGGTATTTTTTTTTACATTTTTCGTTCCTTCGTTCTAGTTATTTTAATATTTATTCATTATGACAACACGTTATCTCATAAAATAATGCGTGCGCATCAAAATACTCCGCTTTGCGGTGTGATCAATAATGGTTCTTGTCTTTTTATTAATGTCCAAAGCGCACACATAATAAATAATAGAGTCAAGTTTTACGTGTTTAAAAATTCAACGAACCGACCAAATACTAATTAAAAAGAAGAATGTCAAAGGAACTTGAATAGAATATCCAGGGACAAGAGCGGCTGGTCGCAATAAAAACATAAAACATACACTAATAGACAGATAACGCGTCCACCAGACTTGTCGTCGGTGCTCAAAACGCTATTTCCGACCGACGCATAAAATAACATGTTATTTTCACGCGAACCAGAAATAGAGCACGCAAATCTTTTAAATCCACCCGAACGTTAATAGCTAACGGCCTGTTATTTCCTTCACTAATGGAGCCCTGTCGAGAGCTATTTTTTGTGTAGCGCGGATAAGATGCAAGTATTGCGTACATATTGACGTATAAACGCTAATTGAGATAGAAATTATTCATGTAGAAATAATTTTAACGTTCTGTTAGTTGTATAGATATATTCAGGAATTCGCTTGTGTATGTTTTTTAAATTCATTTTGAGATGTGATATTGACTTGTTAACACGGGTTTACCCCAAGGTACACATATCACCGTAAGAATACCATCAAACATCAAGCTTCAATATATATTTACAAGGTCAATATATATATATATATATATATATATATATATAGATATTAGAGTTAGGACAATATTGTCCATCAACAAGTCGGCAATATTGTACTCTAGATTGCGTTTACGGACTGTGTACTGCAACGCATCTGCAATATCTCTGAGGCTGTATATCACGTTGCATGATATCTACTGGCGTCGGTCACCATTTAAATGAACCACCTGCTCATTTGCGACGTCCTGCCTCTATTAATAGTATAATAGTATAGAAAATAGTTTAACTTAGGACAGAACTTCATTTGTCTCATTAATTGTACGCGACATGGCTCCAGTAAAAGACAGTAAATGCGTATTTTTTTTTTTTCGAGTTATTCTCGAAGCGTTCGAGTATGAAGCGCGTAATGAAACTTCGCGAGAGACGAAACATCTTCCCGTGCGCACAGTTAACTATACTGATTACGGAACGCGGAACTGGTGCGTGAATCGCTCCGGTTGAAATGATAACATATCGAATATAAGAAGTCGATCTGTCAGTGTCACTCTTAAAAACGTACATCAGATTTAGCAAATCATATAAGAAACGTATTCTACTCTATTAAAGCCCTGGTGAGTCCGTGGCGCAGTTGCCAAGGTGTTGGCTTCGGCGTCGGGGGTTGTGGGTTCGACTCCCACACGGAATAATAATTTGTGTGACCCACGGATAACTGTTCCGCATCTTGGTGTTTGTCCACGTATCCTAAAGTAAGGTTAATTTTTTTTTAATTAAGCTATAACAGAAGTAAAATGATAGCGGTGAAATGGATATTGTAGAAAGTGTACACTCGCTATACTTACGAACACGGGTTTGCTTGGACAGGTGAGATGACCCCAGCGCGAACTCTTAATCAGCATAAGCCACACGGACATAATGTCGCTCGCATTTATATATTGTTTCTTATTTTACTCTATTAATCACCACAGTAAGTTTTGATAGCAGTTATTTATCGCAACACGTTAAGTGGAAAAAATGTAATTTCACAAAAAACAGTTTTTGTCACTCAAAAGGTTCAAATTAACTTTTTAATACAATAGCTCTTTAATACAGTATCGAACTAGTACAGGAATAATAAAAGGTTATGTGATAAAAATAATTGCTTCAGGGGATATCACCGAGCGGTTACTTCACTGAGCTCTGACCTCTTTAAAGCAGTGATTAAGCAGAGCACAATTTTTTAGTGTTGAGGAAGGAGATTTAGCTTGTAAGGGGTACTAAGTAAATACAATGTGAGCTCTTTTCAAGCGAGACTTTGAGCTCGGAACCCTTCTCAAGCGAGTTGAAATAGTACAGAAAGGTTATGCATTAAAAATAATTGCACCGGGGGATTTTATCACCAAGCGGCTAATTCACTGTGGTCTCACCTCTCTAAAGCAATGATTAAGTAGGGTCAGAAAACATTTTTAGAAAAAACAAATAACTGTAACTATTGGGTTTATACCCGACAGGTCGAATGGCGAGGGCGTCCTATCCAACCGCTAGGCCATTCAATCTAAGTTACACATTTTTTCTTATCAATAAAAACATGACTAATCTAGAAAAAAAAAAGGAAAGAAAGCATGATACGCATACTCGATTATAATAGTTATTTTTGTTATATAACAATAATATTTTCAAAGCATTCATATAATAATGCTAGGCAGTGACATCGCTCGATCGGATCCAATAAACCGGAAACTTTGTCACTGTTTCATGTAGTTTTTGCTTTCATGGTTCAGTATAAGATCCAGATTAATACTACGAGATGGCTCGGAGCTACAAGCGGGTAGCATGAATTCTTGCGTGTTTTCTGATGAAGTTTTTTTTGGCAAAGAGGGCAATCAAATTTGCTTATCGCTTCGGGGCGGTGAGAAAATCTCGATGTGTACACTCAACTTTTGTACACGCTGGCATTAGTTTACCCAATTGGCAAGGACGAACTACAATAATAATTTAACTGTGGTATGGCCACGCAACAGTTTTCATGAATCTGTTGCATGAATGGGCAGGTCCGTCCGGGTAAGTACTACGACCTCACAGAAGACCGTCTTAAAGTAGGTGTTACACTTCTGCGTTTCGTCTGTTGAGTGAGGTAGCCGGGGCCCACTTTATTTTAGGTGGCGACGCATTTGCAACGCTACGGGTGTTGCAAATGTCGATGAGCGGCGGTTATTACGAACCACTTTTACATTAAAAAAATACAGGCTTACACAAATACAAATACAGGGTTTTAATAATTTGAAATGCTCAGAGGGTAATTGTACTGACCGTGTAAACTTCTGTGCAATGACTTTGTTCAATTGCATTCAGGTTACGATAAATCGACTCTTGGCATGCCCTTTAACGGTTAAGTGTAAACAAACAAATTTTATGTAAACATCTTCCACGTATTTGTTATTTACACTTTGTTTGATCGTCGTCGAGTTTATATTTGGAGATGAGTGCAAGGTGGTGTTTTTAACGGCATTCCTATAAAGCATGTATTGTTTATTTTATCGAATGTCTTAATGGAGAAAGTTTCAATTTTGACTTTTACTTAACAAACTCCCAACCGCCATATGCATCGATGTAAGCCCTTACTTTTACGCCTACCCGCATTGCGTTTCTAACTTTTACGTATTGAAAATAAAAAAAAATGTGATGTTCATAGTAATATAACCTGCATGAAAAGAAAATTATACTAGCCGCTTATAAAATTTCCGTGATGTTTAAAAAGTACTTTCCAAAATTCGAGTCTCTTAGTGTCCCTACATTTTATAGGGACACCAAGAGACTCGATTAAAACTCTTGATAAAATGATAAAAGACTGCGAAATTATGGTGGGTAGGCAATGCTTCGTGGATACAACTCTTTTGTCAGTCCAAAGGAAATGTTAGCGCCATCAAGAGAGTGGTTCCGCCAAGCTAGGACTGTAACTCGAAAGCGATCTACTAAACCATGACCGTTTTTCAGTAAGTCAACCGTTGTAAAGTGTTAAATATTCCTGCGTGGAATATTTGACATTTTATCCTGAATAAAAAACCTTTAAGAAGTAATAAATGTGCAAATTAGTCTATGGACTATTCCTGACCGTAGACTGCCAATTTACGCAATCATCTGAAACCGTAAATTACTCCGTTAGCACCTACTTTCTAGGCTGAGCCTCGCTAGAAATTGTTTGGTTTGAATTAAAAAAGGCTGGGAGGGGCTATTGTTCTCTGATGAAGCCAGGATCTCTTTACGGTAATGAGCGTCAACGGCGAGAGCAGTGACGAGAATGATTTGCAAAGGAATGTTTCGGAGGAACACGCCTTTGGTGGAGGGTCTGTTTCGTTTTGGTGTCGTACACAGTGATTGGAAACCGATATATAAATAAATTTCTAATTCCTCATCGACAGGGGGCAATTAGCCAAAAATCTATGTACATGGACGGGAATGCCAGTCTCGATACGGAAAATAATATGCTAGAGTTTTGAATTCATCATTAGGATTGGCCGGCATATATGGCCGACCACAAACCTACAGAGCATGCCTGGAATGCTATATGAGGAATAATGACGAGTGAGATCAGTGCAGCCGGCTTCGCAGACCACCAAGAGCTAGAGAATGTTATTACCCATTTATTGGTTATATGTATGTATATATATATGTGTATTAGATGTCATTTTTTTT